TAACCCCAAGGACAGTCCCATTCTACAACAGTGGCATCATGTAATATTTGTCCTTTTGTGACTGGGATATTTCACTCAGCATAATGTTCTCCAGAAAACTTAGATTTTAAAGCTGTCACAGTTTATAAAATTCCAAACTAGTCTGTTGAGCCCTCTTGGTTTCCCTTCTGTAAAATGAGGTCATTATGCTGACTTTTGAGGGTTACTTCAGGGATCAAGATACTTTAGGGATCAAGCACTTGTTGCTGTGTCTGGCCCCTAATCAATACAGAACAGATACTAGTCCCCCTTTTCTCCTCCTGTCCCCCTTCCCCGAATAGCTCAGTTAGTAAAATAAGTCGACACTAAATCACTAAATCATTTTTTCCCTTAGATCTAAACTGCAGAGGTAGAAAGCAGAAAACTTGGGAAATGACAGGTAATTTTTTTGTCCTGGCCACAGACACAGATCCTCACCTGTCTTTGTTCTACTTAATGGCTCTTGATTTAACATGGTAAAAATAATTTCAGACTACCCTCAGAAAACCTTTTTTTCTTTTGTCTAATAGTTTCCATTAGCATTATTGGAATACAGATTCTTGCATCTAAAAAGCCAGTTAGTGGGCAGCAGGGGTTTTATTTTTCTTTTGAGGATAAAATTTTTTTCGGAGTGCTAAGATCTTATGAGTTGCCCTCACATATTTAGGAAAAAGAATACTAATTTGCTGCTTATTAATTTATTAAATACCCTTAATTGATTTTTGAACTTAATTGAGCTATTTACAGAATGGTTTACTCCTCTTTTCAGTATTGGATCAAATCAGCCCTTTCCTATTAAACCGCTTAGTGAATCTAAAAACCGCCTGTTGGACAGTGAATCTCAGTGGACAGAGAACGGAGCTGAAGAAGGCATTGTCAGGCCAGGTAATATTCTCATCCAAAAACATTGCTTCTTTAACTGAAAGTCATCAGATTCAATAAATGTGGAAAAGTCAAAGTATTATAATGTTCTACATTTATGGAATATTAATACGTAATAATGTCAGAGATAGATTTGCGTGAAAAAGGTGCATGAAGATATACCCATTGTTTTATTGTTTATAAAGAAATTAGTTAACTTGCTTATTCTTATTTTCCTGTTATTAACTTTTTATTGTGGTTTGAATGAAAGTTTGCAAAGCAAATTCAATAGTTCCTCCACATGATTATGCTCTGGGGACACTGATGACAGTAACCACTATGTAGCAGCACTCTCTCCACTTGCTCCCTGCGTTTGCTATTTCTACTAGTCCTTCTTTCCTACCCTGTCCTTCTGCACCTTACTTCCTGAGCCGATGCTACCCTTTTGATCTTGTCCAGTTCATTGTTCTAATGCATGTGTGCCTCCTTCCTGGTGCTCTGGTTGTCTGTTACTTGGCTGGAAGCTGAGACACAGGAGTGATTTCACCTCCAGGATCGAAAGATGACTAAGGGCCATAGTCTTGGTGGTTCTACCACTTTTATCAGATAAGTAAACCTTACCTTTGAGGTTTTATTTTTACTTTTGTTCCACATTTTACTCCTATTCTATTATGGACCTTCCCCAGTGGTCCTTTGCAGAGTGGTCAGCAGTGACAGCTGGGCATCATCGAAGTCGTGGAGACTGAAGTTCACATTGTCCTTTCTTTAGTCCTTTGGACTAATATCCTGTTTTCTTTGTTCCAGGCTCAAAGAGACCAGTAGTATCTAAGATGACCTACCTGTAAACGTTAAAGTTCCCAACCATCACTCACCAAAGCAGGATGTATTGCATTGTCATTGTGAACTATGCTGTGCCCATTGAACCAGATGTCCCCAGTAACTATGGCCCCAAGTACCCAGATTCAGTGATTGATTCCCTCATGGGAAGGGGGGGGTGTATGCCACCTATCCACCTTGCTGACCTTTTTAAAAAAAAAAAAAGAGTGTACTGAATATATTTTAACCTCCTTTTGATAACTGTTCACTTCATGAATAGTGGCTGCTGCCTAGAATAGCTGACCAAAAACAAGTAGGCTTTCAATTCAGGCCTGAGTTTACACTATAATCTGGCCACTTAATAGCATTACAGAACCTACTCTAAGAAATACCCTGCAGTGATAATTTTGGTCTTTTCTTATTCTTGTGTGTGTGTGTGTGTGTGTGTGTGTGTGTGTGTGTGTACCAGCAAATCAGATCTGACTGGTACAGGAGGAGATTGAGCCTCTCACCTCTGGGATTGCAGTACAGCTTTTTGCCACTAGGCCACCAGAGCTCGCCTGTTCTTATTTATTTTTTAAAAGATTCTAATTGCAGGTGCATTGAAAAGTAGACTGGAGTGGGGGGAAAGTGGACTGGAGGAGAGGGAGGGAGGAAATTATGCAACAGTGAATGAATACTTTTTTAAAAAGTGAACTGAGAGAAGGAGAGGAAGGAAAATGCAACAGAGAATGAATGAATGGAAATCCTACTTTTCTGTAAGCTTTCATTAAAATCACAATTTAAATTTTAAAAATTTAGTTGTGGGGGTGGGGGAAGAATCACCTACTCACCAAAGGTGAATATATTGTTGTTGTTGTTCTTGTTGAATACCATTGAGTTGGGACCAACCATAGCTGACCCCCTCAGCAGGTTTTCAGAAGCAATAAATCACATGAGAGAAGATTGCTCATCTTTCTCCCACACAGCAGATGGGGTATTTGAAACATGTATCTTTGAGTTGGCAGTGCAATTCCTTACCACTAAGCCACAAGAGCTGCTTTTATTTCTTCATTTTTTTCTTACTTTTAGCCATATTTAAAAACATTCTCTTAATTTCACTGAGGTCTTTGGTAGAATCATTCATCCCTTTGTGTAAAAGCGTAAAAGCAAAGGGAAAATTCACACGGTGAACTTCTAAATCAGGGCTTTATTTAAAAGGAGCCCTGGTAGTGCAGTGCATAACAAGTCAGACTGCTAACCAAAAAAGGTCAGGGTTTCAAATCTACCAGCTGCTCCTCAGAAGAAAGATAGACCATCTCCTCCCATTAAGATTTATGGCTTCGGAAACCTGAAGGAAAGTGTCTGAGTCTGAGCCAAATCAGCAACAGTGGGAGGGCTTTAAAGCCAGGGGCTGTTTTCAGCAGGACGGGCATCAGAGCAGGCTCCCTGATTGCCCTCTGAGTTCTACATGAGACAAATGGCGGCCAGGCATCAGCCTTTTCTGTTAATGCTGCGTGACAATTGCTTTTGCTGTAATTGTAATTTTTAACATTTAGCCAGAAGCATAATGCTTTTTTTCCTTTTCCCTTCTGGTCATGTCATATGTAATTATGTGCTTACAGGGACAAATAACCATGTTACAGTGACAATAGAAAATTGAGTGCTACTTTTTCATAACTAACCATTTGAAAAGAGCAAGGTAAGACATAAAGGTAATTTTTTAAAAAAACACAAATGCCATTTATTTACATATTGCATAACCTAACACTGTTTTAATTTCCCCCCTAATCTTTACAATTGTGTGAGGTAAATTGGGTCGTTAAGAGAGATAGACAGGAAGGAAGATTAACATTTTCCTAGGTCTCATTTTTCTTACACTCCTGACTCAATCTTGGTATATACATGTTGGTGGATAAGTGAAAAGAAATGATAAAAATTGTTTACAATTAGTATGTAGGCAACTAGCCTTTTTCAGAATAAACCACCCCTTTATTTGGTTTAAGAATAATATGTGACTTTAAAAAAAAAGACGAAAAAGAATATGTGACTTTTGCTCATTATGGAGAAAAATGTGATCCAGAGTAGCATTACTAAAACTAAAGGCTGAAAAATAAGCCTCAAGAGGTCCCTTAATGCTACCTAGCGTGTAAAAGATGGAGCAAAAGAACATTTTTCTCCCGGCAGATTCATTAGTTAGCTGTGACTTGTGTGCCCAGACATCAAACCAAAGGACATTAGTTTTAAACACTAGTAAAAGACATGTCAGAAAGAGGATTATAAGCAATTTATGCACAATAATGTACACAGTGAAGGTTAGTTTAACCCTCGGGTTGAACATGGAGGGATTTAATAGGCATTCTCTTCATATATTTAAAAACAAAGACAGCTGTCTATCTATAAGGCAGGAGCTGTGCTAAAGCATCGCACCCACAGTGATTAGGTGTTTGCCCGTCTGCTTACAGCATTCCTTAGTTGTCTGCTGCTTCTTAACACCTTACCACAACTTGGCTTCCTTACATGACAGAATACATCTATTACCTCCACTGTTGTAGGTCAGGAGTTCGTTTTTAAGTCCAGAGTACTATCTGCTTCTGTGTGTTGGCAAGATTCCGTTCCTTAAAAAGGTCCTAGAGTCCAAGTCCAAAGAAGCAGCCTGAGCCCAAGGCAGAGGGCCAGGTGCATTCTGGACTCATGCTGGCAGAATGGGCTGGAGTCTATGATACAGTGGTGGTGCTGCAGAGAGGGCTGGCTCCTGAGGTGAGGACCTTACTCGTCATGGGAGCAGATGAGTCCTAAAATTGCAGTCATCTGCAAGCTTATTGCAAGGGAGAACTGTGACAGCCCACCTCCTATGATGGCTCTTTGATGGCTTCAGGGGAAGAAAGCCAGTGCTACCCCTTATTTAATGCATACAGATTCTTCAGTGGGATATTTGTAGTATTATAGTGTTTGGGGCCTGTCTTACCAGCGCTTTGCCTCCTGCCCCAGAGCCATTTACCACATCTTCTCTTCAGAAATATGAAGTCAAGGGTTCACCAGTAACTCAAGCATTTGTTTCTTTCTTTATAGGTTTACAGAAATACACATACACATGAACTGATGAAGTCCATTTTATTTGGAAGAAAGTGACCAATGGAATGAAATAAAATATAAGGGAAGATATACTTTTTTTTTAAAGGACACCTTTGTACAGGTCGCTGCGTCCACAGACACACTGCTCCAGAGCAGGAGGATGCCTTAATCTCACATGGCCATTTGTGCAGCATTGATTTACAGCTACAGCAGTGACTCCATTATATTTTGGAAATAATCCTTGCCTATACGAGATGCCATAATGGGAACTGTCAGATCACATGTTGACATATAACCTTTTAAAAAAAAAATACCTGACTTCCTTATTAGAATTGTTTCCTGGTCTACATTATAAATAGTTTCTACTCCAACGACACAAGCTAAAATCTTGTCTGAGTAAGTCTGTCTAGGACATTGTGGTGGCTGAAGGTGGAATAATGATAGTAATCAAATCATGACTGCTTACACTGTGTTAGGAAAAAGGAGTAATTGCTTTTTCTTTTTATTGGGTGTTTGCTAATTTATAATTACTGTTTTATACTTTCAACACTTTTAAATAAATTTTTTTATTGTTGGCTATAAAAGAACATGCAGAAGGACTCAGTTATCTAAATATAATAATTTAACACAGAGAACATATTTGTGTAATTCCTGAAAGGCTGGGCTTATAAGCATTAGTACAACCATGTCATCTATCATATGCCCAAGACTAAAAGGAAACTTGACAAATATTTGGGGTTCCTCTTGCTTTTACGTTTCATTTCTGTTGAACTTTTGAGAGTATTGATGTGGACAGAAAAGTATATGTTATACAAAAATACTGATGCAATAGTAAGAAATAGTCGCTAGAATAAAGGAAAAGAGAAAGATAGGCAGAATATTGTAAGCTGTTAAAAAACGTTTTCATTTCTTTAAGTATAGAGTATCCTGCCAAGTTGTTTTCCTGTGTCTTTTCAATTTTAATTAAGGTAATTACTGATAATTATTTTGAGACCTTTTACTGTAACCCTATTATAGCTAAACAGTGATATAAAAAGCAGTTGAAACTAAAGGACAGACTTGAGCACACTGCTCCTCTCAGGGACGAAATTCTAATGACCCGAGCAGGATTCAGGTACTCTCAGTCCCTGAGAAATGGGCTCCACCCTTCCAGCCAGAGTTTTGACTCCCACTTCCTCTTTCCAGCCTAGGTAACATTTCCTTTGACATCCACTCTGAGTGGCAGGATGACTGCATTGATTCTGAATAACAGCACCACAGTATCTTTTAAAAAAAGAAACTGTGGAATTGTTATTTCCTATTTATGCTATTTAGTCATACATGCACATACTCCTCATTTATACCATTTAATCAAACAAACCAAAATGATTGATTGCTTCCAGCAGATAGTAGAGATTTATTTAAGCAGAAAAGCCTGTCCTCATCCGTGTAACCGGGTGCAGGGAGAAAGCAAGTTCAAAATGACCAGATGATTTCTAACATCCTATGGTTCTTCATTTTATGGAAAAATTTTTTTCCAGTCACCTGACAAATAGGTTTGGAAACCTTCTAACTGCCAAACAGTATAGAAGGTAGTACTTTCCTGATGTAACATAGATTTTATAGCTAACTGCTCAATTTACAATTTATCTAACTAAATACTAGATTTTAAAAGGAAGAAACTTCTCCCCTTTAAACCAAAGGAATGGGTTCGCTTTGAAAATATATTTTGAAATATTACCTTAATTTTCACTTTATAGTCATATTAACCTTGATTCTAGCTAGAAAAGTTAAAGTATTTAATGGATGATTTACTAAACGTCCGTTACAAGCCAACACCGTTCCTTTCAGTTTGGCAGATTCTGGGAGGAACTAGTAAATGCTTCAGTTCCTCGGCTGCTGCCAGACCCTCTTTCCCAGCCCCCTCCCGTGTGTGTTTCCACATGCAGTTAAGGCTCCACATGCCCTTGGCTTATAACTGAGGAGATATCATTAACCCCTCTCACCTGTGAGGCACTCGCGTGGTGTTAGACTATTTCTCAGTTCCTTTCAGTTCTACTAGCATCTTTAATAATGTAGTTAGGCATCTTTTGAAATATTTTCCATCAAAACCTTTTACTACAGTTATGTTTGATTTAATTTATAGCCAACATTTTGCTGAATGCTAAATAATGTTTGGCTGGGTTCATACAAGTTGTCCATTCAGTCTGGAGGTGGTAAGAAAATCAGAAAAGCTGCCTCTTTAATGTTTTGATGAAGACTGATGATTGTCAACAACTACTTGAGTTTGAAAGGGTCAAAGTGAAACCCTTTCAGAGTTTCCAAGTACTAGCTTTTGCCCTTTCAGCACTTGAATATTTGTGATGCTGTTTAAGGAAAAGTTGAATTTCAGGTCTTTCTTGCCAATGCCATTAAAAACAGGTTAGGTGACTTGGTTTACGGTCCCGATGTCCTTGAGTATTCCATTAGGGAGGCCCTGGACCAGTGTGATTTTGCCAAACCAAAGAGCAGCTACAGAGAATTAGTTCTTAAAGTGAATTCGTTTACAGCGTTTAGTTTCCTCTTTACCTTTGGATGATTTTCCTTAATCTTTTTACATGTTTAATGATTATAATCCAATGTGTCATAGTGTAAACTTAGTTTAAATCAAATATGCAATGTTTACTTGAATTTTCTACTAGAAAGTGGATTTGGACTATGTTTACAGGATTGTTTAAATTAAATACCAGAATGTGAGATTTCCATTCCATAATCTTTAAAGTAAATGTGTATTAAGGGCTCAAAGTTAATCTGCATAATTTGAGCATTGACTGGACGGTGATTTACAAATATATTCAGCTTATATTTTATTCTAATACTAGCACTGCTGTCAATGGAAAATATTTCTAACTAATCTGTTATTAAGAAATTACTCATATTTTTACATTTCAGCCAAAATAAAGAGCATATCCAATAATCTGCTAAGTACTGATAACATGAAATACATGTGTTTCACATGATCTAAACTGTATTTTCCAATTTAAATGAAAAATACAATATAGATTCAGAAAGATCCATATTTTTGTAATGCCTTCACTTTATATTATTTTGTTGGGTTGCAGAGAAGCAAAGAATTGTATTTGTATTAAGAAAGTAAGAAAGCTAATGGCTCAAGCTAATATATTTCTATGTGATTGCAGAGAAGTCTGCCCATTTAAAAGATAAGATGGGACACTATTTTAAAGTGATCTTTCATACACTTTTATATAAACAAATTTGAAATACGGTTTACTTTTATTGTCTTTACTTACTGCCATTAACCATATTTTTATTCTCATCTTGGATCCTGACTTAAAGTTGACTCTGTTTTCTTTTTTTGGATGGCCTAACCCATATTAACATGAAAGCAGGACATTTTTAAAATTTTATTTCAAAAATCATAAGTATTTTGTTAATAAAGAAATAAGTTGAAGTAAGTTTTGTATTTGAGCAGTTTGTTGTTATAAAGTAGTATTTATCAAATTAAATAATATGGGACTAAGGTGCACCTGATCCAGGCCATGGTCTTTAAAATTACTTGCTGTGTATCAGAGAGCTAGACAATGACAAAGGAAGACAGAAGAAGCCTTT